TAGAACTTGCACTCCCTAGCCGAGATAGTGAAGTCCTCAGCCCTGTGGCCGATGAGTCATTAGCAGTAAGCCACAAAGACTCTCTGGAAGCCAGCCCTGTGCTAGAGGATAACTCCTCACACAAAACTCCTGATTCTCTGGAACCAAGCCCTCTGAAAGAATCCCCTTGCCGTGATTCTCTTGAAAGCAGCCCTGTTGAACCAAAGATGAAGGCTGGAATTCTCCCAAGTCATTTTCCCCTTCCTGCAACTGTTGCCAAAACAGAACTCTTTACAGAAGTGACCTCCATGCGGTCCCGGCTGCTCCGAGACCCTGACGGCAGTGCCGAGGATGACAGTCTTGAGCAGACGTCACTCATGGAGAGCTCAGGGAAGAGCCCCCTTTCTCCTGACACTCCCAGCTCTGAAGAAATTAGCTACGAGGTCACACCTAAAGCCACAGATGCAAGTGCTCCAAAGCCAGCTGTGATTCCTGAGTGTGCAGAGGAGGATGACTCAGAAAATGGGGAGAAAAAGAGGTTCACACCTGAAGAGGAAATGTTTAAAATGGTAACCAAAATAAAAATGTTTGATGAACTGGAACAAGAAGCAAAGCAGAAAAGGGACTACAGAAAAGAACCCAAGCAAGAAGAATCTTCTTCATCTTCTGAACCAGATGCTGACTGTTTAGCAGATGCGGATGAATCAAAACACATGGAGAGTATGGAGGGTGAAAGCAATGTCCCTGTATTAGTGGCTTCAGAGAGCAGAAAGGTTTCTTCCTCCTCAGAAAGTGAGCCTGAATTGACACAGCTGAAAAAAGGTGCTGACTCAGGCCTTTTACCAGAACCAGTTATTCGAGTGCAACCTCCTTCCCCACTTCCATCCACCATGGACTCCAATTCCAGTCCTGAAGAAGTACAATTCCAGCCTATAGTTTCCAAACAATATACTTTCAAGATGAATGAAGATACTCAGGAAGAGCCGAGTAAATCAGAAGAAGAAAAAGGTTGTGAATCCCAACTAGCTGAAGACAGTCACACTCTTTTCACTGATGACACAGATAGGTCTTATGATGATCTAAACAGAGACACTGATCACCCAAAAATCTGTGATGGCTATGGGTGTAAGGCCACAAGTCCTAGCAGCTCAGCCACTCCTGTCCCTTCAGGTCCCCAGAGTTCGACTGGTGATGATGTCGATGAGCAGGTAGTCATCCATAAAGAACCCTTAGCTCTCCAAGACACTCATGAAAAAGATGCAGAAGAAGAGCCTGATGTTTCTAGGGTGGAATCTCCACAAGCACACTGCCCCAGTCAAAGCTCTTCATCTTTTTCTCCTTTGCCTCATTGTCCAGTATCTGAAGGAAAAGAATTAGAGGAAGACATAGCCTCTACATCTTCTGCTACAAAAATGGAGGTCACAAAAACTGACCAAACATTTGAGAGCTTTGACTGCTCCACTCAAGACTTATCATCCACTACTACTAAAACAGATAGACTTTCCATGGATGTGCCCGTGTCTGACCTAGCTGAGACCGATGAAACCTATAACCCTCAAATCATAAGCCCTTATGAAAATGTCCCTTCCCAGTCTTTTTTCTCTAGCGAGGAAAGCAGAACCCAAACAGATGCAACTCACACCCCAAGTTTTCACTCTTCTGAAACATATTCTGCTACCATTGCTTCTTCTGTTGAAGACGTGGTAGTGGAAGTCTCCTCTAGTAGAACTGTTTCAAGCAAAGAATCTAATTTTGAGGGCCGGAACATGGAGATAGAATCCAAACAAGAAAATACCGCATGGGAAATGCAAACAGATAGAGCCTCCTCATCTTTAGTGACTACTGTACCAAATACACCAGCAGTCATTGGTGAACAAATAAGCAAAGTCATCATCACAAAAACTGATGTGGATTGTGATTCCTGGAGTGAAATCCGTGAAGATGATGAAGCCTTTGAGGCCCGAGTAAAAGAGGAAGAACAAAAGATATTTGGTTTGATGGTAGACAGACAATCACAGGGTACCACCCCTGACACCACTCCTGCTAGGACCCCAACTGAAGAGGGGACCCCAACAAGTGAGCAAAATCCATTTCTCTTTCAGGAAGGAAAATTGTTTGAGATGACCCGAAGTGGTGCCATTGATATGACCAAAAGGTCCTATGCAGATGAAAATTTTCACTTTTTCCAAATTGGTCAAGAATCCAGGGAAGAGACTCTCTCTGAAGACAGGAAACAAGAGGCTACTGGAGCTGAGCCCACACAGCAAGAGACATCAGCTGAGTCATTAGCACTTTCAGAATCAAAAGAAACAGTGGATGATGAAGCAGACTTACTTCCAGATGACCTGAGTGAAGAAGTAGAGGAAATACCTGCTCCAGCTGAACTTAACTCCCAAATGGGGATTTCGGCCTCCACTGAAACATCAATGAAAGAGGCTATTTCTGCAGGGGCCGAGGACCTCCCCACCATGCAAATGGGTGATACACCTCTTCAGTCTAGTGTGCAGCAGATATCTTGCCCTGACTCCCCCGAAACAGTTGTAAAAGTTCAGTTAGATTTTTCCACAGTCACCAGGTCTGTGTATTCAGATCGGGATGATGATTCTCCTGATTCTTCCCCAGAGGAACAGAAATCAGTGATTGAAATCCCTACTGCACCCATGGAGAATGTGCCTTCTACTGAAAGCAAATCCAAAATTCCTGTAAGGACTATACCCACTTCATCCCCAGCACCTCCGTCTGTGGAGTATGAGAGTTCATTTTCTGAAGATTTTCTATCCAGTCTGGAGGAGGAAAGTAAGGAAGATGAAGCAAAACCAAAGTCCAAAATCCCCATCAAAGCACCCGTCCAAAGACTGGAGCAGCAGCTCTCACATCTAGACTCATCTCTGCAGAAGACAGTGGCTCCTCAGGGACAGGACGTGACAAGCAGAGAAGCAGACAATAGAAGCAAATCTGAATCTGATGCTAGTCCTTTGGACCCAGAGACCAAATGCCCAGTGAAAACTAGAAGTTACACTGAGAGAGAAATTGAGAGCAGAGAAAGGGCAGAGGAGCTTGAGTTAGAGTCAGAAGAAGGGGCCACAAGACCAAAGATATTTGCATCCCGATTGCCAGTTAAGAGCAAAAGCACCACATCTTCCTGCAGGGCGGGCATGAGCCCCACAAAAGAAAATAAGGAGCAATTCTTTGACCTTTACAGAAACTCCATAGAATTCTTTGAGGAGATTAGTGATGAGGCTTCCAAGTTAGTGGATAGACTTACACAGTCAGAAAGGGAGCAGGAATTAGCTTCAGATGATGAAAGTAGTAGTGCCCTGGAAGTTTCAGTAATTGAAAATCTACCACCTGTTGAGACCGAGCACTCAGTTCCTGAGGACATCTTTGACACAAGGCCCATTTGGGATGAGTCCATTGAGACTCTGATTGAACGCATCCCTGATGAAAATGGCCATGACCATGACCATGACCATGCTGAAGGTATTTGCCAGCCACTGGGATTCCCTGTGCTACGCATGTCATAAACTTGATATAGTTTTTTGGAAAGTTTGTTTTATTTGGTGATTTGTGTCTCATTTTCTTTAAGCTTTCTGTAGTGGTTAATGTGTTTGTGTAAGCCCTTTGTGTTTTGTGCTTTCTCTGTGTACTCTTGTCTATGAAAACAATCTCAAGATTGAGTAATGAGAATGCTTATGGAAAACATAAACATAATAACTAGGCAATGGTGATCTTGCTTTTCTTTAGCTGCTGCACGTGAGGCCATGCAAGCTTTGAGTTTTGTTGTTCTGAAGTCCCAGGCTTAGCCTCAAATTAAGCACTTTTGCTTTTGCACATGAATATATTGGTTTTTGTTTCACAGTTTGAGGACTCATTGCTTTTTCTTCTTACCTTTCATACTTTAAAATAATTTGTACTTACAATTTTGTAATCATTAGGAAGCCATTTGCTCAAGAAGATTTTGCATATCATGAAAATCCAATTGTTGTGTATCTGATTTTGATTCAAAAAGGTTGGATTTCAGATACCACTGGTAAACACTTAAAGCAAACAAACACAAGGTAAAAATATGCTGTTCATTTATGTGGTAGATGAGTGGAGAATGTACTTTGATTAGATGCAGCAGACAACAAAAACTCAAACTTTGCACGATTTAAGTTAACTGTGAGGGGATGATGGTTCTTTGAATTGTAAAAAGGAAACCATGGATGGCTTTGAGAAGTAGCCTCTGGTCTTCCAATATCTCTACAATGAAGACTATTATTCTTAAATTTGGGTTATACAAAATTTCATGATACCATGGTCTTAAAGGCTGCCCATCAATCAATGGGATTTAAAACTGGGAAAGTTATAGTTGGTGGTGGGAGTGAATATTACATGAGCTTACTTAGTACCAAGCACGCAGAACGTTCCCCAAAAGACCTATATGCATCCTAATACAACACACACATACAAGTGCACATGCTCTCTTCCTCTCTTCTTCCAAGGTCACCAGGACCAAGGCAGATGTTGTTTCTGGCCATGCTAGATAAACCCAGAATGGTTTGATCAACCTTGTGAATCTCTGATGTGATTTCTTTCAGACGTGACCTGGAAGTGATCTATATCTCCAAAGGCAATAAAGGATGTTCTAACCAATTACTCCACTTCTGCATCTCATTTATGATTTTTCTGGTGTTTCATGAGCAAAATGATTGTCTTCTGGTGGGCAATATTCTCTCAGATAATTTACAAGTAAAGTCCTAAGATTATGAGAAATCAGCAACTTATATAATTATGTTCAATAACTAGTCTTGATTAAAGAGATATGGAAGCAGATGGTTTTCATAATTCATAGATTTAATCCCCATTCCACCCCAGAAATCAGACAGACACACAATTTAATATGACTTAAAATGTAATAGCTAATTTGTGCTCCTATCAAATATTTGGATAAGTGACTTCCTTTCTTTGGATCAGTCATTACTGTGGTTCCTCTCCTGTCATGGACAATCTTTGGCCGTTCTGTTTTTGACCTTCTGTAGATGCACAGGATGAGCAAGAACGGATCGAGGAAAGGCTGGCTTATATTGCTGATCACCTTGGCTTCAGCTGGACAGGTAAAATGAGTGTGACCCATTTTTCCAACAAAACCTGCTTGGTTTAAATGACATAGTTGCATCAGCCAAGTGTCATTAACAATGGAAAAGGTCTTTTTTTCCCTCTTTACTTAAGGAAGATCATGTTTCAAAGTGAAAAGAGTAATAAACTACCAACTAGAAAATTCAGGTCCTGCATTAGCTAACAATGTAGCCCAGAGCAGGCATTCTATCATCTCTGAAATTTAGAATATTGTAATAGAACTTCAGATCTGAAGATTTTGAGAATACACCAACCTTCACCAGCCCCCTTTGGCAGTTGTAGATATCTAAATTTGGGGGAGATACTGTGTTTTAAAACTACTGTTAGATGTAACCAGGGCCCCTTCTTTTAGAAATCTTATATCAGATACCTTCGTAGTAAACGATACTAAAATTTGCTTTGGGTGAACATTAAAACACATATGAATGAGATGTTTCACTAGTTTTTTGAGAAATGGGAGTACTTAAGTATAGAAGTTATATATTACATGGTTTATTAAGGCACAATGAAGTCTAAAATTTTTTTTTTTACAAATCATGATTTGCAGGTTTTAAAAACTATACCCTTTCATCTACCTATAACAACATATTAAAGCAAGATTGTCTATCTCTTTCTTTCTTTCTTTCTTTCTTTCTTTCTTTCTTTCTTTCTTTCTTTCTTTCTTTCGTTTTTAGTCTGGTTTTCTTTTATATCACTTGTGACTACTTCATTGACAAAAAGAGTATAAAGGTAATAAAGATTTGGTGATGAATAGGAGTCCATACTACTCTTAAAGATAATTGAAAATTTAGAATAAATGACAGGAAGCAGGAGAAATAGCCATTTGCTCGCTTTTAATAATTGTAAAGTAATTATAAAATACTTATCAGACTTATTTAATTGAGGGATTTAGGGAAGGGAATGATATCAAAATATTTTTGGTTAACATTAGATAGGTGACATTCATAATTATTTATTGTGTTCCTTAAATATGTATGTATTTCTGTATACATATTAAATGTAATATGTGTATATTTAATAAAAATTGAAACTCTACAACCATACAAAATGGTATAAAATAAAAAGTAAATATGTAGTAAATATGTCTCTCACACCTACTTCTGGTCTTCTATCCCCGTGCCTCAAAGGTAATTACTAACACTTTCTCATGTATTTATGCCTATTATTTAAAGTAAGCAAAATTTTACTTAATATTTCTTGTAAATATTCTATCAGCATAGACATATCAATTTGATTCTTTTAAATGGCTATTTAATTTCACTGTATGCAGGTTTCATAGTTTTATCATTGACCTTTGTTGATGGATTTTAGGTTCGTTCTTGTTAATGACAATACACATCCTTATGCATTGGTATACTTTTGTGAGTATATCTATAGGGCATATTCTTAGAAGTAGAATTGCTGGGTTGAGGATATGTATGTTTTTAATTTCAAAAGATATTGTCAAATTGCCCTTCAAAGAGGTCACCCCATTTACCCACACACACTCCATAATGTACGAGCATCCACACTAAATGTTTAATGGCAGAATTTAAAGGAAAATTTAGTGGCTTCTTCTGTAGGTCAATTAGTGCTTCCCAGACCTTTTGTTCACATGTCTTCATTTTGTAATCAAATCGACCTGAGTTGTACATATTTTGTCACCACTGCCTCACACTTAATATTTCCACTATCACAATGATCAATTCTATACCTAATTTTGAGGGAAAAAGACTTACAATTAGTATTAGAAGAACAAAGCACATATAAGTCACTTCTAATATGTAGAAATAAAATTTTAAAAACCCAAAACAGCAATACGAAGAATACATAATTTACAAAATCACAAAGGATGGTGTAGAAACTCAAACCTTGAAGTAAATGGGTTTGCAAAGTACTGTTTTTCTCTTCTAGAATTAGCAAGAGAACTGGATTTTACTGAGGAGCAAATTCATCAAATTCGAATTGAGAACCCAAACTCTCTTCAAGACCAGAGTCATGCACTATTGAAGTACTGGCTAGAAAGGGATGGGAAACATGCTACAGGTAGGTAGGGAACTATATGTAAAAGGTATTAGACTAGCGCTGGAAATGTCCTGTTCAACAACCCTATTCTTGCAAATTCAGTCAAATAATAAAATAACAAATGCCATCAATCTGAAGAACTACTATAAGCAAACAAGAATAAGCTATTGCCATTTTTAAAATATACAAGTTGCATAAAAGATCTTGCACTGTACGCCCATGACTAGCATTGACTAGTGGGAAATGATACCAGCACTGGCTGCTCACAGGAGTGTTGTTCAAGTCCTAAAAATTTCTAAATATTGATAGTGGGTTGCTTATTTCATTGGTTGTGCATTATCTTCAGTTCCTGCTTGCTTTACTCCTAAATAACTTAAGTGGGGAAAAAATGTCAAGTAGACACTCTACATAGTAATTTATATATGATATTCTGACCACATTGAAAAAAATGGTAAGTGATACAGACCGTAAGTTCTTCTCATTCCTCAGCTGGTCTAAATTTGCCACTTCCTGTAATGTCTTCTGAAGAGCTTAGGGAACTCTCTTATGTGTATCCAGTCTACATTTATCATTCCTTCTCTTTACATTCTCAGCAGGATTCTCAGATTTAGAAAATAAAAACAGAAGGACACTCAGTTATATTTCAATTTCAGACAGTTAACAAATGCTTTTTAGTATAAGTGTATCCCATGTAATATTTGGGATGTATTTCTACTAAAAAAGTATTGTTTTTTAATCTGAAATTCAAATTTGACTGGGTGTCCTGTATGTTATGTAGCAACTCTCCTTTTAGGGCTTGTGCCCATGCTGTGCCAACTTTTTTGTGTGTATCTCTTTATTTTTACAAAAACCGTTAACTGGGTTTTGGTTGCTTCCTGTACAAATATCAAAAATTTAGTAAGGCAACTAAATAAAAAGAGATTTTAAAAAGAGTGCCACTCAGATATGGTAACTGTTTTTTCTCTAATATCTCAGATACCAGCCTCATTGAATGTCTCACCAAGATCAACCGAATGGATATTGTTCATCTGATGGAGACCAGCACAGAACCTCTACAGGAGCGCATCAGTCATAGCTATGCAGAAATTGAACAGACCATTGCACTGGATCATAGCGAAGGTCAAACAGTGTGTGTGTGTGTGTGTGTGTGTGTGTGCGCGCGCGCGCGTGTGCACGTGAGCACGTGTGCACGCGTGTATGTGGTTAAGTCAGGCACTGGACCTACTGTCTCTCTCTTTCCAGAAGGTAGACCATGGCCTTTGGTGATCATACATTGTTTCCTTGCTTCCCAGAGACATCCCTGCACATTTTATAGCCACCCCCCCAACATCTACTCAGTCTTTGTAATTTCACCATCGACATGGGTGATCCATCTAATTATCTGTCCTCAGTTTTGTAATAGCTTTTTTGATACTTGTATTTTTTACTATTTTTATCATTTCTTTGCTCACAGCGAAGACTATTTCACAGCAAGACTATGCCATTGCCAAAACCATGTGATTGCACTACTTCCAAGTCCTAACTTACAGCATTTACTTCTTCTTTTATTCCTGCATCAACAATTCTTCAGATCCACTGGGACTTCCAACCATTGGCCCTCCCACCTTCTCAGTATTAAAGTTTCTCTGATCTATCCTCATTCATTCGCATGATCAATCTTTCTCTCTCTCTCATCTCTACCGTGTACCTTCTTTTCTTCCTTCAAACCTCCAAAATTTCCCTTCTCCTTATTTACTCTCAGCTGATGACCAAGTTTTATATTTCTTAGAAAAAATAGGAATAATCAGAAGCAAATGTCCATATTCTTCTACCAGAAAGTCTACTTTACCTTTCCTCCTACTACAATGGATGAAATTTCTTGTTTTGCAAAGGCATCATGTCTTTTGTACTAGATTTCATTACTTTTACCCCATGAAGAACTTACCTCTTGCGAGTATTAATTCTGGCTTCTTACCACTGGACCATGTCCAACAACATTAAAACAAGCATCTTAATAGGTCCCATCTTTAAAAAAAAAAGCGAATAACTCCTTTCACCCTACATGCCACCAGAGTGTTACTGCTCTGTTTCTTCTACCCATTTTATAGGAAACCTCTTCACAAGAATAGTCTGTACTTCCTCTCTCTACTTCTTCTCTTCTCATTCTCTCTAGAACTGTCTCTGTAATCCACTTTATTCAGTCTTGTAGAATTTAACAGTTGCATTCTCACTGCAAAATCCAGTGGGCAGCTCTCAGTCTTCAGCTTACTTCACCCTTGGTAACATTTGACACAAATAATTAATCCCTTCTTCTTAAAACATTTTTTTCATTTACTTTTTATAACACTTTTTTTTCCTACTTTACTGGCTATTCCTCCTCAGTCTCTTTTTCTGTGCCTTTTTACTTCCCATAGATTTAAATGATGTTGTGTATTAGTGTTCAGCCAGAACCTCATAGCTTGTCCCCATCTCCTCCCCCTACTCCATTAGTCCCAGATGCCTGGCCTCCTTGCTGTTCCCTGAGCACCCAGCATCCTCCTGCAGGGCTCTGGCACCTTCTGTTCCCTCCACCCTGGAGTGTTCTTCCCTCAGATCATCAGATACCTTTCCCTCTTACTTTATTTAGGTCACTGCTCACATATCACTTCCTAAGGGGAGCCTTTCCTGACAAGTCTGTCTAAAATACTAGCCCTATTTAGCACCTTTACCCTAGTTTACTTTTCTCCTAATATTTATCATAAATAGGTATCTGCAGAAATGCAAGTTCAGTGAAGACAAAAGCTTTTTCTATCTTGTTCAGTGCTGTATATCCGGCATCTACTGCATAGCTGATGTTGAATGTGTATGTGTTGAATGAATGAATAGATGAGTGTTGATTACTCCTCTGCTAAAAATCCTCCAATGACTCCTCGTTGCTCTGGATATAATGAAATTCCTCAGCCTGGCAGAGAGACTACATAAAAAGAGTACAAACCTCGGAGTGTTGTGATGAGGATTAAACAAGTTAATACTTGCAAAGCTCTTAGGACAGTGCCTGACACAGAATAAATATTCAAAATGTATTAGCTATTTATCATTATTATTAACTCTCAGTCCTCTTACCACTTAAATTCTATGCCTTGACTGTCACAGTCAAGTTCTACCTATCATTAGGTCTCCTTAAGATATTAGACTCTCAGCATTTCCTTTCCAAATTCTGAGTTAGGTGTCCCCACATTCATTGACTGGCACCTGTGGCCCAGTCACACTGCATTTGAATTGAATCTTCCTTGTCTAGGTTCCCCTAGATGACCAGCAGCTTGAAGGCAGATGCAGTGTCATGTTCATCTTTGCAACCTGTGGGCCTATCTGAGGAAATGGGACATAGTAGTTACTTAATAAATGCCCATGTAAGATAGGTGAGCTGCAATTAAATGCTTACTTTCAATTGTTCTCCCCGGTAGGGTTCTCAGTCCTTCAGGAGGAGCTACGCACTGCACAGGACAAGCAGACAGAGGAGCAAGCTGTTTCTAAAGAAAGCGAGCCCTGTGATCACCCTCCCATCGTCTCCGAGGAAGACATTTCTGTCGGTTATTCCACTTTTCAGGATTCCATCCCCAAAACTGAGGGGGACGGCTCAGTAACAGCACCTTTTCCCCAAACTCATGAGGAGCAAGTTCAACAGGATTTCTCAGGGAAAATGCAAGACCTGCCTGAAGAGTCATCTCTTGAATATCAGCAGGAATACTTGTGAGTTTTAAAAGAAAGCCTATCAAATACAGTTCAAAAGTTAACAGGCCCATATGGTTAGGTGCCGGGCATATACAAGCACAAATAATTTTAAAATAATTTTTGAATGACCCCACCAATAACAAATGCCCTAGGCACATAAAAAAAAAAAGTGAAACATTTGAGACATAATTGTGATAGTATTGTGTGGCACAGACCTACTTGAACCAACTTCCAGTTCTGTGACATCAGACAAGTCCTTAACTGTTTGAATCTTCATTTCTACATCTATAAATTATGAAAATTATATATATTTTACTCATCTCACAGGTCAAAGGTCAAAGATATGCCTGTGAAAACATTGTTTAAACTGTAAAATTTCATGTAGACAGCACAGTTATTGGTTGTAGGATTGCGCACCTCCTTTGCTCTGGAATGCTTCAAACCTGGTTGGTTTGGAGCATGCACAGTGACCGTGTAGCTACGGCAGCCCGCAGTGATTTCAACAAGGCTATGAGGTGGCTAACTATGAAAATATAAATATAACACAAATTATGCACATGGAATAAAAGACCATTAAAATATGAGGTGGGATGGGCTTGGGGTGGGAATAAAGAAAAGTCTAGAGAGCTTTCAACTGAAGGAAGCTGCAGGGCACAGATCAGCTCAGAACTTAAGTTCTGGGCTTTATGGAAGCAAAGGAGAAAGAGAGTTATTTAAATGACACTGGTTGTCCAGAAAAAGAAAACAGATCATGAGAAAAGGAAACATGTCCCTAACCCTGAAATCTGAGAATAGTATGTCAATGAGATTGCATTACAGCATTTCTTCATCATTAAGTGAGTTTTGTTCTGGGGTCACTAGAGTGTGAGAAGAAGGTGAAATGGGTAATGAAATGATCTCTCCTTCCACTGAGCCACCTGTCCCCCACCAACCTGTAGGTTTTAGAGGAGACCATAAGAAGAGGTAAGGAGAAGAAAGAAGGACAAAGGAAAAGAGGGAAAGAAAAGGAGGGGATATCCGAGAGACACTTTGGGCACTTACTATCTATGGAGTGACAGAAAATTTCATTAAATACAAAAAAAGGAGCAGAAAAAGCAAAGAATTTTCTTATTTAGAAATTAAGATTATGAAAGGTTCCATTGATGTAATTCCAAACTGTATCAATATAAAAAGTTTCAGTGTCAACAGATCCCTCTATTATGTAATACAGTTTTTTAGAGATAAAATAAGAATCTCCCTATATTTACAATTATGATACTATATTAATAGGGGTATTTATTTAATTCTGCCCAATTTTGGTTCCTGCTCCGAAAGCCTTATTATCTACAAATCTTTGTTGTGTAAAACTCCTCAGGTCCTCTGTATTACCTTGAGTTATCAAAGAAAAGATGAAATTATAATTTACACACTTAGGAACAGGTTAGGAGACTAATACATTTTAAGATAATTTTCAAGTTTAGACTTTATCACTCTGTCAATGCTAGATCAATAAGCTATAACACTATATTTTATCTTTTTCTTCAAATTTCATTTCTTGGCCAAATTTACAAAGCCTATTTTGATTATGATGGATTATGAAGTTGAACTCCATCTTCCTTTCCAATTGCTAGAGCAGGAGGACAAACGTGGATGCTCCTGGGCTATAATTGGCTTTTTCATTCCAGTGTGACAACCCCAGGAACAGAAGTGTCAGAGACTCAGAAGGCTACAGTAGTACCTGACTCTCCCAGCAAGACACCTGAGGAAATTAGTACCCCTCCTGAGGAGGAGCGGCTGTACCTCCAGACCCCACCATCGAGCGAGCGCAGAGGCTCTCCCATTGTACAAGAACCTGAGGAGCCCCCAGAGCACAGACAGGAGAGTTCTCCACGGAAAACCAGCCTCGTGATAGTGGAGTCTGCTGATGACCAACCACCGACCTTTGAAAGACGCGATGAAGATGCAGCATTTGAAAAGGTAAAACTTTCCTTTCTCTCCATTTCCTTGCCTACCTGTAACTAACAAAGCTACAAACCTTCCAGTTTCCATTTCTCTGTTGTTGTTGTTGTTGTTGTTGTTGTTGTTTTCACTCCAAAACAAAAAGTTTTGCCAAATTAATTAACTTGGGTCGTGGGGAACCCCTGGCCCTTTCAAAGTCTGGCTGATGAATCCAAAAGAATTTGTATGCGGTTCCAATGCTAGCTATTTGACCTTAAGGCCTAATTTTATCATTGGAAGCTCTCTTGCTATGAAAAATGAATGCTGTAGTGAAGCTGTATATCTGATGTACCTTTTCAAAATTAGTAAATTTAGATGTAAAGACTAGCAATAGGGATTAACAGAGTCTAAGCAAGTCTGCCTGGAGCTGGAGACAGCTGGATGTGCTGGAGCCTGCAGTCTTGCTAGAGCTCCAAGCTGTCACGTGACGCACACACAAACTATGGATATTGAGTGGGATTTAGCTCCCCAAACAAATTTTTCTCATTAGAGGAGGGATAATTTCCAAATTATATTTCTTCGGATTTATTTTAGGAATGACTCAGAAAAAGAACCATGTGCCTAAACCTATTGCTGTTTCTAAATGTCCAAATGCCTGACGTTGGCATGAGATTGCATCACAGTATCTTCTGTATCATTAAGTGAGTCTTAAAGTTGTGAAGAGGGCTGGGGACCATCTTATGAAATTTATTTAAACCATTTATTCTCAAAATGTGGTTTATATATAGCACAGAATTAATTGGGGAGCTTCATCCCTCATCAGAACTCCTTAAAAGAAAGCATCCCTAGGAGAGGAATGGAAGCAAGAATCTGCATTTTAAATAACTCCCTAGATGATTCTTTTACACTAAAAAGTGTGAGAATCTGTTTAATTTAAACTCGATGCAATATAAATTAAATTAGATATTATTTTTCCTTTTAAAATGTAATAGAATTCAAAAACATTTTCTATTTCAAAGTGTTTTTAAAGCATTAACATAAGGCTTAGTAGTAAAAGATGAGTTACATGAAAGAATTGAATTCTTTGGGGGAGAAAAAAGTGATACAATGTATCTTTGGGCTTAAGGCCTACATATGTTTTTATTCACTATGAGGGTGACATCTGCTAGCAGGACTGAACTAAAATTAGGAAAGATCCATTCATATGAGAACTGTGTCCTGATTTTGGTAGTTATCTCACATAATTAATTCATTGCATGAATGGGCTTTTATTTCAAGTTTGCCTTTGCACAGAATTATTCATCTCTCAAGTTTTTGGCTTAAATGAATACTAGTAAAAATGTTTCATACGTGCTATCTGGGCTTAAAAATTACCAAATTTAGCCTATGGATCCATAGGCTAAGTGAAGTATAGACTTGAAATAATTATCTGGATAATTCATTTATTTCATCTGTTCTATACACATAAATAAATTTTCATAAGTCATTCTGCATTCCACATACTTTATACAGGTCTGTTCCTCTCATTCTTGATGAATATCCGATTCTCTCTCTGACGCTTCCTATGTCAACCCTTCACTTCTCGTGACCCTAACTTGAGTATCCAATTTCAATTACATTTTCTTGCTGACCATATTTCTGGACAGTAGATACTTAATAATTTGGTTTAGAATTTACATGTTTTCCTTTAGCAGAGAAGAATGTAGAAATATAATTTAGGTATTTTAATATATGTTAAGCAAATTGAGTTTTCTTTTTTAAAAATAACATTCCATTAGGAAAGAGTGATTCGATCTAAATGACTATAATCTAAAATTATGTTCTTAACCCCATCTCTGGCTTTGGGCCAAACCCATAACATCTGATTGGCCTCTGCATCTCAACTTCTTTGCAAAATGAGTCTAATATTATTCTTAGCTCACCTTTTTTGATTCAAGGGAGATGCACTATTGGCTAGATCGTAGCTAGAGGAAATTTTGACTTCCTACAGAAAGTTCTGCTAGAAACAGGAGATACTCCTGTACCTTTGGGTTAGTAATTCCAAGCCTAAGCAGAGTGCCAGTGGCTTACACGTGTTTATTGTGCTGCTTGGTTTCTATGTTTACCTTCATTTATTTATTGGGAATTTAAGTACATGAAGTCATATGGGCAAGCTGCTTATTTTGTTGGACAGATTTTGACAGATAGGTTCTCTGACAGTTCTCAGAATTCTAGGGTTTTTTTTTTTTCATTTATTGAACAAAAAAACTATATTCTTGTTGAAGTTTGAGACCAGCATACACTTGTTTTCACCCCTACTTTTTCTCCAAAGCCTCCATGAATAAAACCTTCAGAATACAGTGTAAGCTAAGCCAGAAACTAGTAGTGAAGTCATTCCTTAGCATGTTAAACAAAATAATGCTTCCATGCTTCCACCAGGAGCTAACAGAGGAATTAGGTGAGCTGGAGGTCAGCTCAGATGAGGAGGCGATGGTAACTACCAGGGTTGTCCGCCGGCGAGTGATTATTCAGGTACCAGCTGTTAAATTACTGCACGTCAGGGACAGTTCTGTCCTCATACCCTTAGAGAGTGACTGACCTGGAGCAATGAAGGCTTGGCATGCTCCTTAGTAGTGCATGGCCGTTCAAAAGCAGACCCCTTAACTCTCCTAAGTTTTGATTGTAAAGAAATGGCGGTGGTGATGACATGTGCAGCCTACCTCTGAGAGAGAGCACAAGCAGGAACAGGATCTGGCTTCTTCAATTGCACCCGCCTCACCTCTCGCTTATCTGTTTTTGTTTGTTTGTTTTAAGTTTCATCTAACTTTGGTCAGATTCTCCTAAGCATGTTATTACCCACTAGCTTTTTTTCTTTTAAACAAACTACTTGACAGGATTTTGCATCTCAGCCATGCTTCTCAACATCACCCTTGATTTTCTGACATTCCTCACAGTATGAGCACTTGGGAATGTTAGAATCGGTGCTTAACACTGAAGTGACTTTTTTTTCCCCAACTGTTTAGGGAGATGATATGCCTGACATACCCCCTGAAACAGTCACAGAAGAAGAATACGTTGATGAGCATGGACACACCGTGGTGAAGAAGGTATTACCTCGTGTATCTCAACATGGTTGATTTCAAACATCCTGTTCAAAATTCATCAAGACCATGGTACCGTAACTCAAAAATAAGATACGTAAATGAAATATCTTCCAGGTTACTAGGAAAATCATTAGGCGGTATGTATCCTCTGAAGGCACAGAGAAAGAAGAGATTACAATGCAGGGAACGCCACAGGAACCTGTCAACATCGAGGAAGGGGATGGCTATTCCAAAGTTATAAAGCGCGTCATATTGAAGAGTGACATTGAACAGTCAGAGGTGAGACCACCTCATTCTCCAAAATGCATTTCATGGGTAAAAGCAAAATAGATCTCAAGCAAGATGGACGAGATTGTTTATTGACACTGGCCTCCCTTCTCCCTTGTAAATGGCAGCTTGCTTTTAGTTGCACATTCTTTTTTTTTTTCTTCATGATTCTGTGTAATTTTAAACAACCATCAGGGATGTTTGTAGCCATTCTACTCATTGTCTTTGTTTGGTCTTTTCTATTTCTATTTTCTATTTAATTCATAGTTCACCACAGCAGAAATCCAAAGATCAAATTCTGAAAGAATAAAATCCCACTTGCTAGGCAAGCAGTCTGTTATGAAGAGACTGTGTACGGATGTATTTTGGTGCTTGCGCCTGGTTGGCACACCAGCCTTCCAAAGGCCGCTTTAGATAGATATTCAATATTCAAACTTCCGCATTTCAGTCACTAAAATCAGGATCTAGGAACTTCTTGATTTACGGTTTTATTTCTTTCTGTTTTATTTCCCTAATTTAGGGACATAGTTGTTCTTCTTGACATATAATTTGTGAAATTCTCACCATTTTGCATTTATTCACATCCTCAAAATCTTATGTGGTAGACACGAAGTTCTCTAGAAATCTACTTTGCAATTTCTCATACTTTTAGAGTTCCTCCTTTGGAGGTTAATTTTATCTTTATAATGCCAAAAGAATCACTCAACCGTGGGAATAGAGAGTTTACCCACAGGTTGATATGTCTACGTTGCACTGAGCAATGAGTCGGTTTCATTATTCACAAAAGTGTCGAATTTTTGTTCAAGTGACTAATTGAGGTCAAATTGGTGCAGTGGAGATATAGTCATTATATAGATATTACCAATTGATTATAATTTTTTTTTTTCTAACTCTGCTTTCAAATACTGTTTTCTGGAAGGCCAGTACATCATAACATTGTAGTTTCATTTTTGGTTTTCTTACATAGAGAAATTCATCATTGTTACATTTTAGCAGTCAGAAATTGTATATTATGTGTCCTTCATTCATTAGGTAACGTTGTCTGAGCCCAGCATTTTGTCCAGTACCTCACAATTTCAGGCTGAACCAGTGGAAGGCCGTAGAGTCAGCAAAGTTGTTAAAACAACTATGGTACGTGGAGAGAGGATGGAGAAACATCTGGGGGATTCTAGCTTAGCCACTGACCTTCCTTCAGCCAAAGATGACTTTGAAGAGGTATAGAAGCATCATTTTGTCCTTTTTTGTGTTTATTTTATGTTTGCTTCATGTTTGAAAAGAAAATTGTTTGTTGTTGTCTCATTTCATGCATGAACTCGTGGAAGGGTGCAGAATAATTCAAGAGCATAGAATTCTTGTACTTGTGACTTGTACAGTGGAGTAATGGTTCTTCAAACTGTAATGTTCATTGGTATCACCTTAGGAGCTTTTAAAAATCCCGATGACCAGGATTCGTTTCTGCTGAATCAGACTCAGAATCCCTGGAGTTGGGCCATGATTATACATTTGTTTAAAAGTTGCAGAAATGCCTTACCCTCTCAATTAATAAGGGAAAGAAGTAAAGATGTTGCAAATTATCTTTGTTAGCTAATATTCTCAAGTACCGCCCGCCAATGACAGGCATTAAAGAGTTCAGATATATCCCATATCCATATGTTTACAAAGCATTTATAATTATTTAAGTTCTGGTTTCTAACAATCAGAAAATGGGGCAACAGTGAAAGATCCATAAACCTTTACTAAAATCAAAAAATTCTGAAAACTTATAAAACAAATTTTATAAGTTAGTAGCAAGCTAATTTGGCAGTAAAACTTGACACAAACTGTCATGGAGCTATTATAACATGAAGTTTCTCTTATCCTACTTACAGTGAATATTCATATGATTTAATGTTGATATAAAATGGATTTGATTACAGGATGCTGTCTCCACCTCCTCTGTGGAGGATATACATTATATTACCTTATAATATCAGTATATAAATGCTAGTAATATACAGTTTATATGACATACTACCTTTCTAAGATCCAAAAGGAAAAAAAAATCTGAATTTTAAAACACATCTGACCCCAAGGTTTTGACTGAGGGATCATGGACATGTGGAAAAATCTACAGAATATTTTTGATATTGAAATGTTTCGAAGTGTGTCCTGTATTATATCTACAATATATGAGGGTACTTCAGAAACTTCATGGAAAGATTCATATTATTTTTTAATTTGATTTTTCCACAAACATTTTAAAGTATCCTTGTATATTGAGATTATGTATGAATGAATTTGAATATTAAAAGCATTCTTATTTAAATACTTTTAGTTTTCACATTTTGACCACTGGCAACCTTAGACTATCAAAAGGTAAATCATCTGAATTATACATTTTGGGCCTTGTTTGTTTGTTTGATTTTTGCCTTTGGTCATTATATTTATAATTAGAGTCTCCACTGTAGAAAGGAGCAGGGAGATTAAATTAAGAAGGAAATTAAAAGTCAATCAGCCTGGATGTTAGTTTGCAGCTTTTGTAAAGTAATATAAAAATCTCGCTCACAAATAGGAAAAATCTAAGAGACTTTTGTAAATACAAATCAAAACTTAGATTCACTACTAGGAGTTATTTTTATTTGTCCTTTCAGGTATATCTTTTCATACAGACCATAAATTAAGCAAAGCAATAGGCTGTTTTAAAGTCTATGGTTTATGATGAATTTTGTCTTGTTTTCTTCTTTTCTTACTTCAGGCTTTGAGTTACACAGGTAACCACATGAAAGTCCACTCCCCCAGTTTAGTAGAGAATGAAATCTTGAAAGAGGATGGATCAATAATTAAAAGGTTTGGGTTAGCATGGGGTGATGCTTTGTCAACTAACACCATAAACATTTTTCCAATTTTAAGAAAAGGGCCGAGCCCCTACACTTACCCTAAAAGCCCTCAGGTACTGCTGACTGTTCCTGTGTTATGAGGCCTTGGTCAAGTGGTGGATCTGCAGTGTGTCATATCTGGAGTGTCCCCTTGACTTTTCAAAAGTAATGCTAAGATGTAGTGATGGTGAGACTCGTGCTTACACAGTCTGACTCCCTGGGTTCTGGAAAGCCATCAATTCAGTTGAAGCCGATCGGCTAGGATAATCCATTGTGTTGGTGGATTTGGAGAGCACAGGAAGAGGGATCTAATCAGTAGCTCACAAATTAATTTTGCAAGGCAGCCGTGCTCACCACTATACCACCAGCGCTACAAATTAATTTTGTGACCAGCTACATTCAGCTCAATATTTATAAATCATTACTTTGAATGGTACATGCTTTTTTTTTTTTTTTTGATAAGCTGTTTCATGATTCTGCATGTGAGTGGCAAATAACATAAGCATGAGTTTGATACCCATGAACCTAAGTAGACCTAGCAATGTGGAAACCAGGGGCTTTAAGAAATATGTGTCATGAAAGCAGTAAGCGCACATTTTTATGCATGAAAAGGGGGCTGGCCATGAGGCGCTCAGTCCACCCCTGCCTCCACCGTGGATTGGATGTGGAAACCGGGGTGTTGCTCCCTTGTTCTCACTGCTAGCAGCACTGTAAGAATCTGGATTAATAAAATGTGCTCAGCTTCTCAGTGAAAAGACACAATGGAAATCCAATTTACTATTGTGCTTTTCACTTCATTGAAAAGGAGAGAAAGATTGTCATTTATATTACTCTGCAAAGCTATTTTAAGGCTCCAGAACATAATAATTAGAACAGCAAAATTAAAGGTTCTCTCACAATTCCACCCTCCAATCAAATCTGAAAAACAGCAGCAGCTAGGAATTTAAAAGAGTGTAATTACTCTCTTTGAACTTTAAAAGTATGATATGAATTAAGGATAAAATGCTTTTTATACTCTGAACTTTTAAGTCTTTTATCCAATTATTGAGATGAAACCACATAAATCATGCAAACCCTAGCATCTTGGGATCTTTAATTTGGAATAGATTTAGAGACCAATTAATTCGAAGTTCTCAATGACAGCTGGTGAATTTGAAGGTAGGGATATAAACAACTTGATCAAGTTCTCATAGCTAGTTAGTTATGGAAGTCTACTCGTGACGTTTAACACTTTGTCTTATACATTGCTGAAGACATTGTATCATATACCTGTGCATGTTCACAAACACTCATCTACATATGCCTGCACAGAACACCAGGAACTGTCCTATGACAGAGGTTTATCCCCTTATGCCAGTGCTATAAAGGCTTCTGAAGATCTTGGCAGAAGTAGTCAGACATTTGTCTTTTGGGAGGAAAAAAGAAATGGATGGTGAATAATTAGAAAAACATAATCCGATTTCAATTATTGGAATCAAATCTGACCTTTTCATTAAGAGGAACAAATTTAAGTTTGCTTTTAGATACAAAATAATTCATGTAGTATCAAAGGAAAAGGGAGAATAAGGGAACAAGAGAAGAGAGAAGGAAATGAGGATGTCCAAAAGAAAGCTGAAAGTTCTTGGCTACAGTAAGTCATTTTTAAAAAATCAAGATGATCTTATCAAACATATAGAGATTTTGGAAGGTGGGCAGAACTTCCAGCTTCTGAACACTAGGAATCTGTAAGGAAAATACTGGGTAAAGCTACAAAAAACTGGTCGTCTCCTAGGGGGTTTTCAGTGAAGACTCACAGCGTGGTGGTTATGGACTCGGGCTCTGGGAGCTTTGACTCTTGGCCTCACCACATGCTAATTCTGTTATGTTTTGTTTGGGGTATTGCTTAAATTCTCTATGATTCAGTTTCCTTATTTGTTATAATAATAGTGCCTGGCACACAACACATTTATCAAATATTTGTGGAATAAAGTAATATATTCATGAGTAGACAGTGAGAAGAAGTGAGAGTGAACAAATTACAATATAATCATTTTCAAGTAGGGACGCAGGAAAATAATAGTAGGAAATACAGTGGTGAGTTGTAGCCACCAGTCTGATGGGGGAGGCAGGTGAGCAGCGGCTGCTCGGGGCAGTAGATACACAGGTGAGTGACGCACATGGCTCTGAGGCTGCAGAGGAAGCCCCGGTCTCTCCACAGTTTCTTCCTTCTCCCCCGCCCCCATCTCCAGGTGAAGCCTCCGGGGCCTGGGCAGACCTGAATCTCTTGCTGGCAGTCACCTTCCTGTGTATTGATAAAATATTTCAGTTTTTAAAGATCTTATGGGAAAGTTCTCTTAGAACCTAAGTTTGGGTCAGGATGTGAGTCTAAAAATCAAGCTGTCAACTAAGGGCTTTTAATGAATTAAAATAAAACTCACTTTTCTTAACCTTGTCAAAAGGTACGGTTGGAACCACTATTTCGGGATGATCCGAGCTCTTTTAAATCAGTTCAACTTAATCAAAACATGAATGCTATATGGTTACTTTTTGAGAGAATCATATTAAGCATGGTTCCATTTATTTGAACTATTTCTTAAAAATTTTAAAAAGACTCCTTGTTTGAAAACACACTTTTTAAAATCTCATGAATCATTTCAGATAGGTGTGCCATATTAAAAACAGACATGAAAAGATGTCTATAGTTGTTATACGAGTAGCTTGGTATAGACACATCTAGAGGTAAGACCATTAAGTACATAAATGCAATGGTGACCCTCGTACCGAGCGCTGCTTTTTGCAGTGAGGACAGAGCATCATTCTTTCTCGTCTGCTTTCCTCCAGGACAACAATGAGTAAAGCCAGTACACAGAAGAGGGCTGTGGTGAAGGACCAGCCTGGAAAACGCATTGTCTTGGAGCACCTGGAGGATGTACCAGAAGCACTAGACCAGGATGACCTCCAGCGCGACCTCCAGCAGCTCCTTCGGCATTTCTGCCAGGAGGACTTGAAGCAAGAGGCCAAATGAGGGGCTGCCTAATTCTCACACAGAAACCACACATTCACTCAATATGCAATTTCCCATTTTGGTAGAGGCGTGACCTAAAACTGACCTAATTTATGGGATACCCTGACATTTCCACTGTTAGCAAATATACTCCATTCATTTTAGTTTTCCCCCATCCTCTTTAACTATAAGCTAATTTGTGACCAAAGATAGCATCCTTCATTCTGGGTGCTGTATCCACTACTTTGTTGTGTCTGTGCTAACCTGGGAACTGGCCACTTCCATTGATCCTTGCTTCTGCAAAAGCTCCATGAAAATCCATTGATCAGAAGAACTTCACCTGCAGACCTCTTCAAATGACAATGTATAGAAATCCTTCAAAGGGATATCCTTGTACAATGTATATAGCTGAAATGCTCAGATGAACAACATATTAAAATTAAAACCACTGCCTATTATAACTACACTGGGCATCACGGAATAAAAATCCTCTAGAAATTGCCGAACGATGGTTAATTAAGATATTGCTAACACAATCAAATGATAATACAGTTCTGCAAAAGAAGCACTTCACACCTACCATGTCCTTAGAACTTCCAGAGTAGCCACTGCTCCTAGTTAAAGATGGGTTAATAACCTTGAAGAACTGCCCTAAATAAGAAGTGATTGCTGGTGCTGGCCAGCTATGATCTATGACTCCAACAGCCACTCTGAGGGCGGGGAAGAAAGGAGCAGAAGGCAAGCGGAATGAGACTGAGCTATTCCATTGCTAGCAGCTACATCCTGTGGCATTCTAGCATCTTCAGGTCTTCTAGATTTCGGACACGTTGGCAGGGTATTTTAAAAGCTATAACTACTGTAGTTTTCCAGTTTTCATTGCTGCTTTAGCAAACCACACTGTCTTACTGGTGGTTCTTTCTTCTGGCCACTGCACTGTAGATAATTCATTGGAAACAAGATCTCCCTATTACATAAACTCCTTCACTATGTTGGAGTGGTTTCTTTTTTCTTTTTTTTCTTTTCTAGGTTTCTATCTTCTCTAATACCTGCATGTGGCATTTAAAAATCAAAGTCACAGTCAAAAACCCCTCTTCTAGTCACATTAATGTTTTTTTTTTTTGTTTTTTTTTTTACCCTGAGTGAGCACTTTTCACTTTCCAGCTAGGTCTGTTTTTCAGCTTGCAGACAAGATTGAGAAATCCCTGAAAATTTGGTTTTGGTTAAAAGTTTTGGTTTATTTATCTGAAATCCCAAATCCCTTGGAAACTCTTAAGTGCTTTGTGCACTTTCGTATTTGTTTCAAAGAAGGGATTATAACATTCTGAGTGATTCCCATGTCCTATTCCTTATCCCTCTAGTGGTTGAAGCTGTGTAGCATTTTAACATATATATATTCACAAATATATTCATATAAACAGTATACATTTTGGATCAGTTATTTGTTAAAGAAAAGTATATTCAATGAAAATGAAATTTTAAAAAGATACAGAGTCTATCCTCCAGGGATTGAACGTTTTCCAATTATCTGGTCTTTTCCTGTTGTGCAAAAATGACTCATTGCTCCGAATGTCAAAAACAAATGCAACCAACAATGGCACTTCATTATTTAGAGCAATGTTGCCAAGAGAGAAAATTTCCTGGGAGGGAGGCTTCCCACAAGCCAAATCTCCTAAACCTCAAATGCTAGCACTTTTTGGCAGTTGGATAGGAAATAAAACATTCTTTGGCAGCCAAAATGAGAGAGGCCCATGGTGAAACTTTTTGAAACACACTATGGCCTTCTTGTCAAAACCTTCACTGGAGCTCAAGAGAAGCATTTCTGTTGTGTTATATTGCAGTGCAGATGATGTCTGTGTAACAGCATAATGGTTATTCACCTTTTTTTGATTTTGATTTTTGCTGTGTTATCAAAAAACTTGAATACTGTGAGAAGAAGTGAATTTTCAGTTGATGAATCAGCATCTTGTTCCCATGGTGATAACACTAATTGAATATATCTATGAGGGCATGTATTAGTTAATGGAAAAAAATACAACACTAACAATACATAGCTGCAATGTGTACAATGGCTGATTTAATTAAATAAAATGTACAAGTGTTAAATGTGGCAACGGTGATTTGTTCTTCTTTATCACAAATCTGTGATTTCAAGAGAAGAAGATTAGTAAGGGGATGGGACAGATTTGAAGCCAGCACAAAGACACAAACTACTTTTTTTTCTTATTGTTTTTATTTAGTAACTAAATATGCTGTGTGTCCTGGGATAAACAGAAAAATTTTGTCTCAGCCCTCAAGGAATTTTTATTGTTATTGTTATGCAAAAGGGGAAAACAAGGATTTATTTTCAGTTTGGGGATCCCTAGTAAATGAAAAAGAGGAATTTGGGGACTTGGGAGAGATGAGAAAAGGGGAAGCAGGACTCAGCAGCACAGTGAGGCCGGGCGGGTCTGCTTCTCTGCATTGGGCCATCGCTCTCACAAGGCACCTTTGGCCTTTGGGGACAGCATCTAGCTCTGAACAGGGTAGGGATACACAAAAATGAAATCAGTTGTGTTTGGAGAGTTTTGTTTTGCTTTGTCTTTTGAAAAATCTTTTTAATGCTGCTGTATTTTTTACAGCAGAAACAAAACAAAAAGACAAGGTTTAGAAATTGAGTAAGTTTTATTTAAATCTTACCTAGTATGACATATGGAACTCACTGGGCCTGGGCTATCTACCTGGTTGATTTACAAGCTCTCCTGAAATTAAAATACACATTTTCCTTGAGATTTTTTTCAAAGAAAACAGAGTCACAGTTTAAAAAAAATTCCAAAGTAGGAGTGTCTGTGTGACCATCCCTCTACTTCTCGCTTGTTCAGTGTGCTGTGCTTTTGTATTTAGAGGAACACTGGGCTTGCCTTGCCTTGGGTTTGATTAAGGAGATCAAAGCATCAGAGAATATTTGATGTCTTCTCATATTTAATTATTTGCTGAGCAAACCCCATTTTTAAAAAATGAACTTCAGTGACTCACATGTCCTTTTACAGAAATATATTTAAAAGTGGGGTGGGGGGAATATTCCAGACTGAGGAATGATTATGCACAACTCATAAATGACTTGTATTAGTCATAAGGAGGTGCAAATTACATATATGCATATTGAAACAAGCTTGAGTTGAATTTGAAATTAGGTTGCTTGTGGAATCATTCAGTTTATGTCAGCTTGGAGGGTATGGTGTGGACAAGCAGGCACATGAACAAATTAGAACAAAGCTAAACAGGTATTTAATGAGAGCCAAAATTGCTACAAGGTTTTCTTGAATAATGGAATAAAGATGATCTGCGTGCTTTTATTATGCTAGGAAGGAAAAGCAGTTGTTTGAAAGTCTGTCTTTGATTGCCACCTCTGCTTAAAAACTATACTCTCCTTTCAGTTAAGGTATGATTTCTGTTTCCAATCTCATTGAAGCTAGAATTACAGTCTTAGAATGAATTACCCACGTAAATATGTAATAGAACTTTATCTCAGTGTAACAATAGAGAATTTAAGAAAATATTTTAAATATCTGAAAAAAAACACAAACTTTATTTCCAACTCCTGCACACAAATTAAACTACTCCTGTTTGATTATACTCAGACTTTCTGGGAAAAACAAAAGTACTCTCCTGCTTTAAATTAGTTCCTTGGTATGAAATAAATGGTGCATATGAATATACTTTGGGTAGAGCTATCATATGTGGCTGACAGAGACGTTTGACAGTGGTGTCTGTGGTAATTCAATAAATATTTTCATTCACTGAAAACGTTCAGTTGCTAAGCCCTTGAAATGCCCCAGTGATCAATATGACAAAATGGTTAAATATGTGATCTAAGAGTGAGACCTGAATTGGAATCAATCCAGCTAGATCAATACTTACGGTGTGGCTTTGTGAGAGTTCACCGACTGGTACCCAGTGTCCTCATCAGTAAAATAAGAGGCTGTAATAATTGCCTCAGACGTATGTCACCTGTGCCAGATGCAGGCGAGTCCTGCCCTATGTGTCACTCCTTGATCTAGAAGTGCCACAGTGGCCTGTGAGTCATTGTGGACCCACATCTGTGACCATCCACCTCACTGAAGAGGAATGCACCTCAGGGTTGGTGCTGAAGGCCTTAACTTACCCTCTAGAGCAGAAAATGTAGTTAACCGCTCCCTGTTAGGGATCCACAGTTGACATTGTCAACTAAGCCCTTGGATTCACTTCCATTCTGAGGAAGGATTCTTCAGAATCTCTTTCGTTCTCTCAATAGGGCTTTGTAACTCAGTTCTGGTTTCCATTCCTTTTTCAAATTTCCCACACCCTCTCTATTTTGGGTTTTCTTCTTCTCTCTGGAAACTGACTACAGAATTAGATAAAGCCGCCCAAACTCCCCTACTGGAGGGCCGCTCCCTGCCGGCAGCATGTCCGGTGCACCTGCCACACGGGAGCTGGCAGGGCCCAGGCTGGCCCGGAGGTGGCGTGAGCACAACAGCTGTCTTCGCAGATGTGCAGAAACAACCGAAGCACGACGTCAGTAGGAAGTACATATCGTGCCAGTTTTTGCTGGGTGTTGATCAGCACTTGGCCTGTGTCTAGGCCGTGATATACAGTTTACATGGCAAGAGTATAGCAGCACCTTCTGGATGAAAGGGGCCTTGTGTGAATTTTTCAAGTGACTTGTAAATATGTGATACCTTAAAAACCACCCCCCAAGCATGTTCTTTCATCCCAAGTAGTCAGAGGGACAACTGGAGAGCCTGTTGTTCTAATAATCCAATTAGTGTTTAGATGGATGTTTTAGTTTCCTAGGGCTGCCATAACAAATACCACACACTGGGGGATTTAAAGAGCAGAGGTTCATTTTCTCACAGTTCTGGAAGCTAGAAGTCTAAGATCAGGTGTTGGCAGGATTGGTTTCTTCTGAGGCCTCTCTTTGCCTTGTGGATGGCCACCTTCTCACTGTGTCCTCACATAATCTCTCCTCTGTGTGTGCACAAGCTTTGAATCTCTTTGTGTCCAAATTTCCTCTTCTTATAAGGCCACCGATCAGATTGGATTAGCACCCACCTTAATGACCTCATTTTATCTTAATCACTTCCTTGAAAACCTTCGCTCTAAACACAGACACATTCTGAGGTAGTGGGAGTTAGGGCTTCAATATTTGAATGTGGAGGAGACACAATTCAGCCTGTAACAATTGGGTTTTGTCCAAAAAACAAAGGCTTCTAGGCATGCTAAGCCGGAAGGGATTTAATGCTGGGTGTTAAAAACTTAGACAAATGTTGGGAGAGCCAAAACAGTGAAGGCAGGGAAGATGCTACTGCTTTGAAGATGTTCATAAGCACAGAAATCAGACATCCAAGCCGATGGGCTCAGCTTCATGGAGCAGAAAAGTATATATTTTTTAGGGGAATGCCCAGATATAGTTGCAAAAAATATACCACGTGTCTCGGGCCAAAGCCCATGTACCTCTCCTTAGCTGCCTCTGAAGAAATAATTATTTTCTTTCTCTTTTTCTTTCAAATCTTGGGCAAACACTTTTTGTTGGCAGAATATAACACAGAGCCCCTGGAAAGGGATTCCAAAAATATATATTCTGAGGATCTTCTCATACGCAGGGAAGAATGTAGAAAAGGGCAGAAGTGATGCTGAGCTGACAGCAGTTGACCACAGGGGCTGAGACACAGAACAGCCGTCTCCACCCACTCACTAATTCATGCATTCAAGGCCGGCTGTACCCAAACATTGTGCTGAGTGCTCAGGGTAGACTGGGGCCAAGATGGTCCCAATGGATTACACCCACTGAGTCCTTACTATTGCGAGTTACCATTTGAAGTACCCTGGAGATGTCTATAGTCTCCACCCCAATCCTGTAATGTAGATACAGGTGAGGGAACTGAGGGGCAAAGACGTTGAATAACTCGTCCAAGATCATGCAGCTAGAAAATGGTAAAGCTCAGTTAAGAACCCAAGCCAGTGGTTCCAACAACAAACCATACTCCACCTTTGAAAGACACAGACACTACCCATTGAACTTATAATCTTGTGGAAGAGAGATATGTTGAACCAATAATTCCACAAATAATTAAAAATCAATTTCTCATGGACAAATACACTTAATACAAGGAATCGGGCTCTGTTCAGTAACTTTGTAATTTCTGTTCTTCTGAAAAAAATCTCTCTCTTGTCTCTCAAGCCCACTTTCTCTTCTTCACCTGCTTCATGCTCATCAGGTGACCTTGACTCTGTTTACAAAAAAAAAGAGATGTCAATGGCATGAATTTCTTCAATGCTGCATAAATTAGGGTTCTCTAGAGAAATACGACTGATAGAATGTGTACATATACAGAAAGAGATTTATTGTAAGGAATTGGCTCATGTGATTATGGAGGCTAAGTCCTGAGGTCTGTAGTCAGCCAGTTGGAGACCCAGGAAAGCTGACGGTGTACTTTCAATCCAAAAACTGTCCTAAGACCCCAGAAGAGCTGGTGTATCAGTTTGAGTCAGAAGACAGGAAAGCCAATGTCCCAGCTGGAAGGCAGTCAGGAGGAGTTCCCTCTTACTAAGTCTTTTTGTTCTATTTAGCTCCTCAGTTGGTTCAATGAGTTCCACCCACATTAGGGAAGGAAATCTGCTTTTCTCAGTTTATCCACTGAAATGTTAATCTCATCCAAACACACCCTCACAGACATGCTCAGAATAATGTTTGTCCAAATATCTGGGCACCCCATGGCTCAGTCAAGTTGACATAGAAAATTAACCATCACAAATGCTTTTCCTATTCCTACCTCCAAATTTGTCTATATGCACATGCACCCTATTTTAGTCCATTTTGTGTTGCTATAACAGAAATACCTGAGACTGGGTAATTTATAAAGAAGAGAGGTTTATCTGGCTTATGATTCTGGGATAGCTGTATCTGGCATGGGCCTCAGGCTGCTTCTACTCATGGTGAAAAAGTGGCAGGGAGCCAGCGGGTACAAGCATATCACATGGGGAGAGGAAGCAAGAGAGAGAGAGAAGGTGCCAGGGTCCTATAAACAACCAGCTCTCACTGAAACTAATAGAGCGAGATCTCACTCATTAATCCCCCTTCCCCCAGGGAGAG